GAAGCTTAACCCACTGAGCCACCTAGGCACCCCTGAAGGCTGTAGAGATTAAAGGCTTAATTAACTATTGTCTGCTCAGACCCCTTCTCTGACCACTGTATTAAAATCAGATCTACCTTTGTATTTTCTGTTGGAATCAAGCCTGCACGATTGTGGTTTCCAAGTGTTTATTTGTGTATTTGCTTGTTTGTTGTCTGTTTCATTCATTAGACTATAAGCACTGTGAGGGCATTGACCATATCTAGCTTGTCCACTGTTGTCTCACTAGCACTTACCTATGGTAGACACTCAAGAAATGCTTGTTAAATGAATGAATGACTATAACTATTCACTGCCACTTCTATGTACATCCTATTAACTCTGGGCAGTTGCTATACAAGATGGTGACATAAAAGCAAAAGCACCTGAAAGTAATCAAAGAAGCGACTTGGTCATGTTTGAACTTGTCATTGTTCTGAGTTTTTTGGTTTCAGCTGAGGATATCCTTTTCCTTTCCTTTATCTTTTTTACAGTGTCCTTATCACTCAGACCGGATGAATGCTGAAAACAATGAGTGGACTATAGAGTATATTTTTAAGTTGATGATTAAAGGTCTCTAGAGGCCATTTTATAGTGAAATCAGGACTGAAAATTTTGACCTTGGAGTTTCCCCATGAGGAAAAAGCTACTTTTCTTCAGTTGCTTCCTTTTGTCGGTGATTTTCATATGAGGATTTTGTGAAGTTTAATATTTTGAAATGCTAAAAGCTTTTAAAATCTTGTATTATTCAATGTGATAAAAATAATTCATTTTAAAGCAATCTCTAAAAATGAATGGTGTAGATTTTTGTTGCAGTGATTCTCACAATGTGATTCACAGAAGATCTTCCATGGGGAAGGAGGGGATGCATTTTAGTATTGTGTTATAGTATCTTGTTCATAGGTACCACTTAAGAAAAAGGTAGTTTGTTAATTTAACAGAGGTAACAAGGTAAAGATTGTGGTCCTTATGTCTTTTGTCTCATCAGAGAGAAACAGAGACTATAACTTTGAGAACTTTGGAGTCTCATTTGTACAATTTTTTAAAAGTAGTTTTTGTAGGAAAAAGGTAGAAATAGGATCTACTTTATTAACTTCCATTAAATGCTAGGAGGAGCCTGCTGGCCTTCGAAGTCTTGCCCCAGTTTAGTAGGGCTCTTACTATTTAGAATGCCCACGGTCAGGGTCGCTGCAGAATCAGTTATTGAAGAGCAGCAGTGGTGGTTACAGTTGTTCAAAAGACTCCCTTTTACTGATTGCTGTTGTGCATATACTGCTGATATTATATACTGGGACCTTTTTGATTGTGATCTTTCCTGGGTGTAGTACGATTTTGGAAAGTGAACTTTGTTATATGTGTTATATATGTAGCAATTTAAGTGACTTGGGTTGAAACTGAGCTTATTTATCATTCTTGCCATGATCTCTTACCTGGACCTTTCAGTAACCTTCTGTTTAATCTTTCTCCCTTTTTAAAATTTTTTTTTATTTTTTAAATTATTTTATTAAAAAAATATATATATTTTTAAAGATTTTATTTACTTATTTGACAGAGAGAGACACAGTGTGAGAGGGAACACAAGCGGGGAGTGGGAGAGGGAGAAGCAGGCTTTCCGCCGAGCAGGGAGCCCGATGCAGGGCTCCATCCTGGGATCATGACCTGAGCCGAAGGCAGATGTTTAACGGCTGAGCCACCCAGGCGCCCCTGATCTTTCTCCCTTTTTAAAACATCATCTCTTTCTCCAAGCCAGCCTCCACAGACAGAGTGATGTCTTTAAAACATGGATCAGAACAAATCTTTTTTTAAGAGAAGAGGAGAGAGGTGGGGGGAACAGGGAGGGGCAGGGGGAGAGAGAGATAGAGAGAGAATCTTATCTAGGCTCCATACCCAGTATGAGCCCGAAGCAGGGCTCAATCTCATGATCTTGGGATGCAGGGCTCAATCTCAACCACCCTGAGATCATGACCTGAGCTGAAATCAAGAGTTGGACACTTAACCAACTGAGCCACCCAGGCGCCCCTGGATCAGAACAAGCCTTAAAACTCTTAAGGCTTCCCATTTTCTTAATGTTAAATTTAAACTCCCTACCCTAAGCCTCATCCCATACTGTTCTCCCTTCTTTTGTACCATGCTCCAGACACTCTTGTCTCCTTTCTGTTTCTAACATGGTAAGCCCTTTCTGGCCTCTGGGCCTTTGTATTTTCCATTCCTTCTTTCTGGAATTCTTCCCCTGGCTTGCTCCTTTAAGCTTTACTTCCAATGCCACTCCATGGAGAGTACTTCTGGGTTTGTTTCTTTGGACTGTTGTAATAGTACTACAAACTGGGGGACAGAAATTTGTTTTCTCGCAATTCTGGAGGCCAGAAGTTCAAAATCAAGGTTTTGGCAGAATTGCTTTGTTTTGGGGGCCCAAAGCGAGAATCTTTTCCATGCCTTTCCTAGTTTCTGGTGGTTGCTGGCAATCTTTGGCGTTCCTTGGCTTGCAGCTGCATGATTTCAGTGTCTCCTTCTGTTGTCACATGGCTGTCTTTGTTTTGTTTATTGGTGTCTTTTTTTTTAAAGATTTTATTTATTTATTTGAGAGAGAGAGAGAGCATGAGCGGAGTGAAGGGCAGAAGGAGAAGCAGACTCCCTGCTGAGCAGGGAGCCCAATGTGGGACTCAATCCTGGGACTATGGGATCATGACCTGAGCCGAAGGCAGATGCTTAACCGACTGAGCCCTCCAGGCGCCCCCATTGGTGTCTTTACATGGCCCTCTCCTCTCTGTATTTGTCTCATGTTTCTTCTCATAAGGACACCAGTTATATTGGATTAAGGGCTCATCCTACTCCAGTATGACCTCAGCTTAATTATATCTACAATGACCCTATTTCCAAATAAAGTCATATTCTGAGTTTCCAGGAAGGACATGAATTTTTGAGGTGTTGGGGAAGGCACTATTTAACCCAACACGCTTTTCCTGAACTCTTAAAGTAGGCTGCATTAGTGGAGCTATGTCTATAAACATACAAATTATTTTCGTCTAGCCAGTGGTAAGCAAAATACTTCATTAGACCACATTTCATGCATTACACTCAATTCTGGGCATGCCATCCATGAGAGGAACATAATTGAACTAGGATAAGAATGGGATTATGAACATTTCAGAAATGGTGTTATATGGGTAAGAACCAGGGTTGCTCTGTTGGTAAGATCTGAGAAGTCCTCACAGCCCTCTGCAGGAAGATTGTCCTTTCAGAGGAGGGGAAGTACAGAGGATTGGGTGGTTTTACATACACCACAGGGCTATAATCCTGTATTTGGAAAGCATGGTTTTGCCTTTTTAGGGGTAAGGGTGGAATTTTTCTTTTTTTATACTGTACCTGATTCTAGTCTCCATCTTTCAGAAGATCTGGTATGGTATACGATTATAACAGTGCTACCAGAAGAATATTTTGCATGTCCAGAAGCATTCAGAAAAACAGAGTATAAAGGAAGAAAAATATTAGTAATACATCATCTTATATTTAACAAAGAAGGAGAAAATAAATGTGTAAAGCTGTGTTTGGTAATATACAGCATTATATAACTTTTATAAGATTACCGTTGAAATGCTTACATACTGTATATATGAGTTCTGTCAAGGTTTTTTTACTCCATAAAATGGAATAAATATAATAGTCTAGATTCCCTTGCAAGTCAGCAAGTGGATTTTGGCAGCGTTTGTCTATGGTGTAGAGGACCTTGTGGTTCTAGGTATTCATGCTTGCATGGAGATCAGGAATGACCTCAGTTCCCTTTACCCTGGTCCTTCTGTCAGCCTCTATGGAATTCACATTCTAGTTTTATACAGCTGTTAAATGTTTCTACTCCTACCCCTGGGTTGTGGACCTCTGCTGAAGCAAACCTATAACTAGGCAGGTTGTTGTGCCTGCAAATCCAGCCCCCACCTCAGGGACCCTCTGGAGGCCTAAGCATCAGTTCCTTCTTCCATGCCATACTTTTACTTCTGTCTTCAAATCGTTGCAACACTATACTCTTTTAATAGCTAGCCCTGCCCCCTACTTGACTGGTTAAAAAAGTTAAGGTGTTGTGTAAGAGGCATTTTAGCTAGAACCCCTTCAGTTTCTTCCCTTTCCACCTAGAAATGTAACTCCTCCTTCACTCATCTGTTACCCAGTGGAGGAGAGGTTCCTTCTCCTGTCCAAGTCAAATCCCTCCATATTTGCTGTTGACCCCATTCCATCTTGCCTCCTCAGAATCCCCCTGCATCACGAAATGCTTCCTTACCGATAGTTTCAACTATTGCCTCTAATCACTTTTTGCTCTTGGCTTTGATACCTCTTATGTGTTTCTTCCTTCTTTATAAAACTCTGTTGTTGAGAAAATGTATCTTACACATGATCAAATCAACATTTGGTGGCATATTCAGGTTTACCAAACACCAGTATGCTGCCGGATATATACATTTTATGATGATATACATTTTACAGGTAGCTGTCATTCAGGTTAGATAACTGTGCACTGGCTGAGAGCCACACCTTTAGATCCTTTCCAGCCCTAAAAACTGTGACTATACACCTGTCACAAGTCAAGTGTATTTTAGGTTATATACTTCAGAAAAATGCTGATTAGTTTTCCCCTGCCCCGCCATCCAGATGCTGGCTTTTGGTCTATATTAATTTCATAGTTATTTATCTTCCTGTTTCTACTCCCAGCAAAGGGCATGCAGTTCCTGGATCCTCAGCAGCCTGTATAAGGCTAAACTGTTATGAGTTGGTTTTAGATTTTATGCTTGGGTTCTCCCTTGGGCATGTGATTTGTCACTGGGCAAAAGGCACAGCCAACCACAGTGTTGTGCAACTCTTCCAAAGTCAGTAACAGACCCATGCAATAAATGAACCTACACAAACTTGCTCTTCGGCACTTTGATCTCCATTCTCATTGCTTTGAATCATGCTGGTCTTTGAAGCAATGTTGGGTCTTTTTTTTATACCAGTAGCAGAGCTAGGATGTATGCATGCAACCATTCATTCCCTGTATATTCACTGATCTTCTATTACGTGCCAGACATTATACTAGTCACTGGGAATTTCGTGGACAAACCAGATAAGAGTCTTTGCCTCATTAAGGCTCTATTTCTAGTGAACCAGTTTCATTCAATGTTGGTTTAGAGAGGCAAATTCAAATTTCAGTTAGGTTTCTCTTGATAGGAAGATTTTCATATCTACATTTGGAGGCAGCCTGATGAATATAATCTTATCTCCCATTTCTTCCCCTCATAAACTGTATACCTCCTACCATAAAACAACAACAGTTCCTGAATATGCTTGTCCTGCACAGCTTATCTTGCTCCCTTTGCTTGAAATGCTCTTCGGTTTCTTCTGTACCTGAAAAAAAAATTGTTACTCTTTAGGGTTCAGCTCGGATATTCCCTCCTTGGTGAAGCCTTGCAGGATTACCTCAAGCAGGATGGTAACTTCCTCTTTTGAGCTCTCACAGCACTTTGTAGAACTTAACCACACCATCCTGTGATTGTTTATTAGCATGTTCACCACTTCTGTTAAATTCAAAACTTGAGAGATAGAATTCTATCTTAGTTCTCCAAATGCCTGTCATTTAATGAGTACTCAATATACATGTTTTTAAATGAAAGAAAAATCTACTATAGATGTGATTTAGTGCAGTATAATTTACATATGATTATAGTGAAATAGAAATGTAAACATACATATATTATAAAATAATACATATATCTTAAAGGAAATCTTAAAGGTTTATAAGTCTATTTTGTTGATTATCGTATACATATAGAAAAATGCACCATCCTAATTCTAGAATCTCCTCATTCTCTTTTAGAGTCATTTTTCCCCTACAAGAGTAACCACTATTCTAACAGCAGGAATTTTTGAAACCTTACTTTAAAATGAAGGATGATGAATGCCATATTTAAATTATGTGAATATATCTTTTTTTAAAAAAGAGAGATTTAAAATAATTGTCATCTCTGTATCTGAGTTTTTTCACCTAAGAGTTTGGACTTCAGATCTAATCTGAAATTTTATGAATCTAATATTTTAAAACTTAATGGGCTCCCCCCTTTTACTTCTTATACAACAGCGCCCTCTGATGGTGTAACATTTCCTAAAATTTATGTATTTAGTAATCACTGCTGCACTTTCTAATTTGAACACTTAAAACTGTGGCCAGGTAATTCTCGTAGTACAAAGCTTCCTAAAGCCATTGGGAGTTGATCATGTGATTTATTGATCATGTGGTGCTTTGTCAAAGCCAACAGATGATGCCAGAATCTTCATCTGATGTAACACTTAACTGTTGTTTGACAAAACATGTTATTTCTTGATTTACTGTAATGTTTTAGATGTTTCAAGGGCAGGATATCTCTACCTCTGTTTTAGCAGTAGAGCAGAGAGTATTTTGTGTTTGTAGAATTTTGGTAATTTAAAATGTGTTTTCTCCTTTGGGGCCCACGGTCTTTGGTCAAAGGAAAAGGGAGTTACTGAGCACTGCACAGTTACTAGAGAGGGTGCATGAGTCCATTTTCTTGCCCAGCATATACTATTTTTTCAAATATAATTAGATGCTATTGTGTATTCATTTATACCAGTATTAAATTTATATTAGCTTCTCTTGTGTATTTTCTCAAACATGGACTATTAAAATAGAACATGCATGCAAATTCTAACATTAACAAAAGGATTTCATATGTAAAAATATGAGGAACCATTGATTAGAAGAATTGAACTGCATTCATTTAATAATTATTTGTAAAGTATCTGTCTTATACATGTACGCTTTGGTAGCTATTGTATTCTTGCCTTTCTAACTATCCTTTTATAAATATAAGAGGCTGGATAGTCTAACTTTTTTCTACAGTGGACTCTCCCATATCACTTCTTTTCTACCCCCCTTGTCATTTTCTCTTTAAATAAATAATTTATTTCTAATAGTCTCTTTTTTAAGATTAGAGGTAGGTTACCAAGAAAGTATAAAAGGAGGGAATACATTTCTCTCTCCTGGTTAATATGGACAGAAGGGTGTGTGCAGGACAGTGTCTTACTACACAGAATGATAATTTCATTTGAAGGGTATATCTGAGGAAACGTCTACCTTCCTTGTTAAAATGGAAACTACACCTGCTAAGGTTGGTAATGAAGAAAACAGCCCTGTGGGAAGAGGACAATCCTGTCTCTTAGACCCACCTTCTTCTTGGAGGATTTGGATCATTTCCTTTGTCACTACCATACTATCCTCGAGGGATATTGTTGCCCTTTTAATTCTTGAAGTCACATTTACTCTCCAGTACTTTCTGTTTTCATAATACAGATAAGCAAATGTAGAACATTTAAGCAGGATTTTTGCATGGCCCTGACAAAATAAAGTGGAAATATCAGATTCATAAGATATGGTTTGCTCTCCCTTCTTGTTTTAGCTTTGGGCTACTCCTGTATGAGGGATAACTTAACTTAGTAGGGCTCCACTTGTAGATATTCATCCTTCTCCAACTATAGACCTCTGGCTTGCCTAAACCTTACCTTCCTTCCAGGTTTTGACTCCTTCTTTGAAAACTTGTATCCTTCTAACATGAGGGTATCTCCCCTTCAGGGGAGATCAACCTTGCCTAGAAGCAATGTGTCTCCATTTAGGAACTCTAACTGAATATAATGCCATACTTCCAAAATTAATACAGGGCATACATATCAAGTGGAAGAAAGTGGGTCTTATTTCTTTTTACTATCTTTGGATTAGAATTGGAAACCAGAGAGCCATCTTTCAAGGTACTTTGATTTATTGGAAGTGTGACTCCATTTTTTTTTTTTTTTTGGTCCTGTATATCTCCAAGTATACTTTTCCTATCTTTAGTAAAATTTCAGTTAGCTATGATCGTATATCTGGGTGTGTAAATAAAATTAACTGTAATACTGAGTTTTCTAAAACGAAAAGCTACTGAGTAAGAGTTAGTGTGATTTTGTTTTTTATTAGTGCCTAATTAAACAAGTTAAAAATAGTTGTATAGTAACAGTTATTGGGTTAGGCCAGTGAAAAGACCAATATTTCACATATTCTTCAGTTTAACTGTTAGTAAATGGCTGAGGGTTATGTGCTTCATTACACAAATTTGGAGAAAGATACTCTAGTGTCTCCTATTGAAGGTTGAAGTTGGTAGTCAGCTCTCTTTGCAATAGTGCATTATAGTGAAAAATCAGACCGGGTTTTGTTAGAGATAGGATTGGGTAGGGGATAAAAGCGTGTGAAAAATTGTATTTGGGGGGCACCTGGGTGGCTCAGTCAGTTAAGCGTCTGCCTTTGGCTCAGGTCATGATCCCAGGGTCCTGGGATTGAGCCCCACATTGGGCTCCCTGCTAAGCAGAGAGTCTGCTTCTCCCTCTCCCTCTGCCACTCCTCTTGCTTATGTGCTCCCTCTCTTTCTCTGTCAAATAAATAAATAAAATCTTAAAAAAAAGAAAAAAATGTATTTGATTTTTATTTATTAGTTATGTTATCTTGGGCAAGTTATCTGACCTTTCTGAGTATCAGCAACCTTTTCTAAAACTAGTGTAATGAAAGTACACGCAAGGGTAATGGGGAAGATGATGTGATCTGTATAAAGCACCAGCATGGTGCCAGGCATGTAGTTGGTGCTCTGTGTTATTTGCCTTCCCTTCTCCCCTGCAACCCCAAATTGCCAACCAAATTGTGTGTAACATGTGTAATGTTCTAATGGACATTTCTGAATATGACTTTTATTCTTGAACAATTTTGAAGTCCAAATAATGATTTTTGCTACAGTATATTTTATTTAAAGATGTTCTCTATGTTCCTTTTTGCCTACACATTCTTATGGATCTCTTTCTTCTCTACAAGGTGAAGGAGAGAAGTATTTCTTGAAATTTCTTAGACTACATTTTAGAAAGAACTACTATATGTGACTAGAGGTGTGTTTCTTTTTTGAGGTCATGTTTTGTTGCTTTTACAGCACTATTATTTATTTTAGTTATTTCAATAAACTGAATTGCAAAAATAATTAAAAGTTCCACTTCTGTCTCTAATTTGTGACCTTGACAAAGTCACTTGACCTCTTTGAGCCCAGTTTCTTTAGTTGAACGACACAGATCAAATGGTTTATAAAGCCCTTGTCCCCTTTCCTGTTGTGATTTATAAAATGTCTTTATTCAGGAACACAGAGCTGAAAAGTGGCATGTGGGTCTCAGTTCTCAACGGCAGAGGGCACACTGCCCCTAGTGTGCTGGGCCCTTAGGTATTAGAAACTATCTGTAGTTAGGTAGCCTGAAGTTGATATCCTTGATGGTAAGAAGGAGCCAAGGAAATTACGTAAACTAATGTTTTGCAAAAGAAATTTTATGGCCTGTTTTCTAACTATTTAATATTTAGGTGAAACACTAAAAAAAAAAAAATAGGAGATTTTGACATTCCAAGGGTACTTTTTACAATTATATGAAGAACTTTTCTTTTTCTTTTGTGAAGAGCTTTATCATCTCCCTCTACCTTATTTACCCCATCCAAGTACTCCATGCTTAGGATTGGTTTACAAATGGGATGGAGAGGAGAACTAACATTTATTGAGTACTTACTGTATATTAGAAACTATACCTGGTACTGTAAGTACATTTTCTTTAATCCTCACAGCAATCCTTTAAATTGTGTGTTATCATTATTTTATATGAAGATACTGGGCTCAGAGAAGTGAAGTGACTTGTGTGAGGCTTCACAGTAGAGATTCAAGTTCAGGTCTGTTAATTCGCAAACCTGCTTTCTTTCTTTCTTTCTTTTTAAAGATTTTAAAAATTTATTTGACAGAGACACAGTGAGAGAGGGAACACAAGCAGGGGGAGTGGGAGAGGGAGAAGCAGGCTTCCCATGGAGCAGGGAGCCCTATGTGGGGCTCGATGACCTGAGCCGAAGGCAGATGCTTAACCGACTGAGCCACCCAAGTGCCCCAAACCTGCTTTCTTTCTACCATACCAGAGTTCTTCCCTTTTTCTCCCAATTTAAACAATTAGGGATGAATTACTAGGAGCAGGCATGGCCAGACAGTGGTCACACATAGAAGTTTGACTTTCTCTGGTTCTAAAGTTTTGGTGACCCTTATAATTCTAGATGGAAGTTTTTCCTTTGACAAGAATTTTTTACCATTTATGTTTAACATGCTATATACAAACACATATCCATGTTTTCAAATTTGAAAACTTTAGATTGGATTATTGAAATATGTTTTTTGTGGGCTACTTTTTAAGGTTACAGCAATATCTCATTTTATAAGAAGTCTGGGTTCTAAAGTCAGTAGGTAAGGTGAAAATCACTACAGCGGAATAATCTTTGAGAATTCCATGGTAAGGCGTCTTGTTAGAGAGCCATGTACTTCCTTTCTTTAAGTCCAGCACAGCCAGTCTTTCCTTCTTTGGTGAAATAGATCATAGTTTTTCCTGTTGAGCTTCAAATAATGAGGTTGGCTTGTATTTGGGGGTCATGTTGGGTGGTGATGCACATCTTTAAACATCAGACTCTCATTCAGCATGGTGAGATGCTTATAGTATTAGAGGTATTCTGAAACCTAGATCAAAGGAAAGAATAGCAGAGTCATCTCCTATTTGAGGGCTTAGGCTAACTCAAAACTTCAGCTGTACATCAGAATCACAGACTACTGTGTTCTACTCTCCACAGTTTCTGACTCAGTAGGTTTGGGATTCAGCCAGAGTATTTGCATTTTTAAGAGATTCGCAGGTGATGCTGATTCTGACTTCCGGGGACTTTGCATGGAGGACCGCTGTACTAACTGAATGGAGGCAAGTGGAATCCCTTGTCTTTCTTCCCTCCACTGTCTCTCTTGCTCTCTATTATTTTTAGGTGAATGGGTATAGTTGAATTCATTTAAATTAAATGTAGGTGTTGTGGCTCAGCCAACACTTTATCCCATTGCTTAGCTTACTTCTTGGCCCAGAACAGGAACTTGGTGATTCAATAGACACTTGTTGAATGAGTGATTGATTATATATGTTGAATTAACATATAAAATGGGAGGGATTTTTAGCACATGGACATCATTATCATATGCCTGTTCTATACAAACCATTTATTATCCTGAGGTAGGCAATCTTTAGATTAGAATAGCTTATATTTTAGGACTATATATGATGATGATCATGGACATCAGAAAGTATGTAAAAAGTGCAGTTTTGAGAAACTTGCATTTTGGGACCTCTGGAATAATGTGAAATAGATATGTGTGTATAGATGGAGCTGGGTGTGAGGAGTCCCATCTGTTTTAGAATGGCCTAGGGAAGTCTAGGAGACCCTGGTTTAGATCTGACCCGGACAGTCTGGAGCAGCACTGGGGTATCCCGTGCCAGATGCAGCACTTTCACTTCTGTCTCCAAAGTACTGGGGAAGTTCAGCCCCATGATCCTAAAGGCTCAGTGGGGCTCTGTACTATGGATAACACTGTAAATTCAGGTAGTTGCACATGAATCTTACCATGTTGTAGGATTTGATAATTATATTTTAAATGGTGAGTTTATTAAGGAAAGGGTAAAAAAAAATTTCAAAAATTTAAAATTCGTTTTAAGCTTAAAATTATTTTATCATTTTTCTGATTTTGGACATGTTTTATATTAAGTCTTGCAAAGTCTCAGTATTCTGTGTTTTGTCTCTTTCAGTATAGATTAAATTTTCTTCCTTTAAATTCATCTTACTTTTTTATGCTGAAATATTTTCAAGTAAATTGCAGACAACATGACATTCTATCTCTAAATCCTTCAATATACAGCTGTAAAAACTAAAAACATTTACCTATGTAGCCACAGTATGATCACTCCTAACAAAATTAACAAGTCGTTAGTATTATCTAATATCTAGTCCATATTCAGATTAACATAATTGTCCCTAAATTATCATTTGTATCATTTGTTTGAACCAGAATACAACCTGGAATCATGCATTGCATCTGGTTATTTTGTTCCTTAAAGTTTATTTATTTATCATTACATTGCCTTACCATTGTCTTATCACACATTTGGATTTGTCTGATTGCTTATTCAGAGTGTCTTTAGCTTGTTCATCTACCCTGTGTATTTCCTGGAAACAGGAAATTAGATCTAAAAGAAATTAGATCTAAAGGCTGGAAAAAGATAAAAGTTGAACATTTTTGGCGTGATTTTGTCATACGTGAAATTTGCGTCTGTTGAACCACCTAAGGAGATGCATAATCCATGCCTGCCCCACTGTTAGTGATGCTAATTTTGATCAATAGATTGAGGTGATGACAACTCGATCCTTCCATTGTAAAATTACGTTTTGCCCATGTGACAAGAAGGTACTCTCCATGGTGTTCCTTTGGTACTAATATGAATCTTCATTTCCCCGTCATTCTTTCTCCTAATGCTTTTAACACCATGTGGTAATTCTTACCTAAATCAGTAACTTCATAAGGGTTTGCAAAACTATCATTTGTCTAATTTTGTCATTCCTTCTGCTTTAGCTGACATTTAATTGAACAGAGCTCTTTTTCATTAACTGGGACTATTTGTTACCTTGAAACATAATTCTGCTGGAAAGGCAGGTTAAATGTTGAGTTCTTTACTTTTGTATTCCCAATTTCTAATTTAGGAGTTGGTTTAATAGACACCTTAAATGGTAGCGAATGACTATATACTTTGCTTTTTCTTTTTTGATATCCTTCTGAACTAGTAGATTTTTGTGAATTGAATGTTTCAGTCAGCTAATGAAAATACAGATCGTAAGGGTTATCTGTATTTTTTTAAATTTTTTTATTGTTATGTTAATCACCATATATTACATCATTAGTTTTTGGTGCAGTGTTCCATGATTCATTGTTTGTTCATAACACCCAGTGCTCCATGCAGAACGTGCCCTCCTCAATACCCATCACCAGGATAACCCATCCCCCTCCCCCCCTCCCCTCTAGAACCCTCAGTTTGTTTTTCAGAGTCCATCATCTCTCATGGTTCGTCTCCCCCTCTGACATACTCCCCTTTTCTTCCTCTCCTGTTATCTTCTTCTTTTCCTTTTTTCTTAAAATATGTTGCGTTATTTGTTTCAGAAGTACAGATCTGTGATTCAACAGTCTTGCACAATTCACAGCGCTCACCGTAGCACATACCCTCCCCAATGTCTATCACCCAGCCACCCCATCCCTCCCGGGTTATCTGTATTTTTTAAAAGATTTTATTTATTTGAGACAGAGAGAGTGCACAAGCAGGGGGAGGGGCAGAGGGAAAGGGATAAGCAGACTCCCCACTGAGCAGGGAGCCTAATGCTCAGGTCCCCGGGATCATGACTTGAGCCAAAGGCAGATGCTCAACCAACTGAGCCACCCAGGTGCCCCAGGGATATATGTATTTTAAAAGTTAATGGATTCATATCTCTGTTTCCAATTCAGTTTTAACTACTGTGTTTTTAAATAGCTCCTCCATTTTTTTAAAAAAGATTTTATTTATTTATTTGCCAGAGAGACAGCAAGAGAGGGAACACAAGCAGGGGGAGTGGGAGAGGGAGAAGCAGGCTCCCTGCTGAGCAGGGAGCCAGATGCAGGACTCGATCCCAGAACCCTTAGATCATGACCTGAGCTGAAGGCAGACGCTTAACAACTGAGCCACCCAGGTGCCCCTAAATAGCTGCTTCATTTTATAATTGTTATCTCTTCTCTTACACTGAAAATCTTGAGTACTGATAACACTGTTTTTTTATTGTTTTTTTTTTAAGATTTTATTTATTTATTTGAGAGAGAAAGCACAAGCAGGCAGGGGGAGGGGTAGAAGGAGAGGGAGAAGCAGACTCCCCACTGAGCAGGAGCCGACATGGGGCTCAATCCTAGGACTGATCATGACCTGAGCCCTGAGCTGAAGGCAGATGCTTAATTGACTGAGCCACCCAGGTGCCCCTGTTTTTTTGGTTTTTGTTTTTTTGTTTTTTTTATTTTATTATGTTATGTTTGTCACCATACATTACATCATTAGTTTTTGATATAGTGTTCCAGGATTCATTGGTTGTGTATAACACCCAGTGCTCCATTCAATAAGTGCCCTCCTTAATACCCATCACCAGGCTAATCCATCCCTCACCCCCCCTCCCCTCTAGAACCTTCAGTTTATTTCTCAGAGTCCATAGTCTCTCATGGTTTGTCTCCCCCTCCGATGTCCCCCCCTTCATTTTTCCCTTCCTACTATCTTCTTCTTCTTCTTTTTTTTTTTTAAGATTTTATTTATTTATTTGAGAGAGAGAGAATGAGAGACAGAGAGCACGAGAGGGAAGAGGGTCAGAAGGAGAAGCAGACTCCCTGCTGAGCAGGGAGCCCGATGCGGGACTTGATCCCGGGACTCCAGGATCATGACCTGAGCTGAAGGCAGTCGCTTAACCAACTGAGCCACCCAGGCGCCCCTTCTTCTTTTTTTTTAAACATATAATGTATTATTTGTTTCAGAGGTACAGATCTGTGATTTTTTTTTTTTAAGTAAGTTTCACACCCAATGTGGAATTTGAACTCATGACCCTGAGATCAAGAGTGGCATGCTCTACTGACTGAGCCAGCCAGGTGCCCCTAATATTGTTTTATCTTACAGTATAAAGAAAGTAATTTCAAAATAATAGTGCCAATATTACTACTGCAACTAAAATGAAGTTTAAAAAGTTTTGTGATTATTTTTGTAACATAAGTTGATTTTAATGGAAGAATAAATTTACTTTTTTGCTGATCTCATTTAATTACTTTCCTCTGAAATTTGTCTACTTTGTTTTTGTCATAGGTTAATCATTTTGGATTTGATGCTGATGAAACTTTTAAACAGCGATACCTAATAGCCGATGAATACTGGAAGAAAAATGGTGGATCAATACTTTTCTACACTGGTAATGAAGGGGACATTACTTGGTTTTGCAATAATACGGTATGTGCAAATTCCTATGCTCAATATGCCTTTTATTATGGCAAACTGGAAAAAAAATGTTTTGCAGTATATATGACCAAGTATTATTGTAACTAATTCTGAAGCTCTTTAGAAAATAACAGATAAAACTCACTAATAATAGAAAAATGGCAGAAGCATATGAATGGGCAGATCACAAAAGAATGAATACAGATATCCAATAAGCCTACGTGTTCTGCCTTAAAGAATTATACATGAAAAGAATGAAATACTATTTTTGGACAATTGCATCTTAGATTTTTAAAAAATCCCATCTTATTTCTAGAGTGAATAAGGATATGAGGGACATGGGAATAAGAATGTTATTGCAGGGATGCCTGGGTGGCTCAGTAAAGTGTCTGCCTTCGGCTCAGGTCATGATCCCAGGGTCCTGGGATGGAGCCCCACATTGTGCTCCTTCCTCAGCAGGGAGCCTGCTTCTCCCTTTGCCTGCCGCTCCCCCTGCTTGTGCTCTCTCTCTGTCAAATAAATAAAATCTTTAAAAAAAAAAAGAATGTTACTGCATATAGATTTTTTTTTTGTTTTTGTTTGTTTTGATTATGGTCTCTAGAATGTAAACACAAGGGCATGAATTTTTGTTTGTTCATTGTTGTATATTCAGTCTAAAACTGTGCTAGGCATATAGTTGGTGCTCAATAAATATTTGTTAAATGAATAAATGGATAAAACCTAAACAAAGCCAGGGCAAATAAGGAAAAAAATGCAAGTTTGTTTGTCAAATAGGATTTTTAATTTAGCTTTCCTGTTCTGTTTTTCTTATATTTGTGAGGGTTAAAAAATTGTATAGATGTTAGCTTGCTTCCCTGACTATACATTCTATCATCTTTTATAATAACACTTAAATCCATTAACAACATTTAATTTAGAAGGACACTTGAAGAAATTTTCCTTTTTTATGTTCCAAAGCTATGACTAGAGAATGTCAGCTTGCCACCAAAAAGCTAGTCTGTGAACTACCTCAAAGTGAAGACTGAATTATATTTTTTCCACTGGCTAATGGAGCCTGGTATTCAAGAGGTCTCAGTAAATGTTTGTTGAACTAAACTGAACTGAAAGCAAAGATATGAACCTAATTATACTATTATTGCATTTCCCATTTCTGATTATTTCCTTAGGAATGTTGAGTCTAAATATGTTAGTTGAAAATAAAATAATTCCCTGAGAAATGAGATCCTAGGACATCTATGTCTCTTAGATCAGTGACAAATGAAGTTAAGATTTACTTTCCATCAGATTCCTGCTTACTTTTTCTATGGAACAACTGAGGCTGCTTTATCTTTTTTTTCTTTCTCCTGTGTGACTTCCCATTTATGCCAAGGCCATGGGGCAGCTTCTCCTGCCCAGTTATTTTTCCAGCTCCTCTTCCTCCTCCTCCTCCTCCTTTTTTGAGAGAGAAAGTGGGAGGGGAGGAGCAAAGGTAGTGGGAGAGAGAGAATTTTAAGCAGACTCCACATTCAGTGTGGAGCCCAACTTGGGGCTCAGTCTCATGACCCTGAGATCATGACCTCAGCTGAAATCAAGAGTCAGACACTTTAAAAAAAAAATTAAAAAAATAAGAGTAGATGAAAAAAAGAAAAAACACTAAAAAAAGAGTCGGACACTTAACTGAGCCACCCAGGTGCCCCCCCCTTTCTTCTTTATTATAGATAGGCAGCTGTTCCTGCCTCCACTGCTCTGACAGACAGTGCAGCATAATTTAAGGCTTGCCTCAGAAGTGGTAGAGAGGAAGAAAAATACAGTATAGGAGCAGTTCCAGGAAGTGGCTAGAGGTAGATCCTTAGGAGGATCCTGTTTTTTTCCCAGCCCTAGACACCTCCCTGTACATACTAAAATGCACTGGTTGCATAGTCACATATTCTGGACATTCATCTATTAAGAGACAGTGTAGCAAAATGGTCAGGAGTGATAGACTGGTAAGGATTGATAAGAATTGAATTCTGGTTTTGCCATTATGCTATGTGACTTTGGACAGTTTCTTATTCTGTGCCTTAGTTTTCTTATCTGCTAAATGGTTATATTAATAATCTGGTTCATAGAGTTGCTATGAGGACTAAATAAGAATTAGGAACTTAGGACAATGCTATAATATTATTAAATGTTAATATATTACATGGACCTCTTCTGAAAAATAAAAATACCCTGAAATAGATGCAGGCAAATAATCACTTATAATGTGAATCATTTCAATTAAATTGCTTCCTTTAAAAGCCTGAGGTCAGCTCCTCAGAGGTGTGGTTATTTTTATAAATGATCCTTACCCTTAAGAAGCTCATAGTCTGGTAGGGTAAGACACACATTTAAGCAAATATTGCAACACAGTAATAGAGAGCTATGTCTAGCACAGTGGTGTTGAGAGGCGGGAGAGATCAGCGGTGCCAAAATGGGGCAGGCAGAAGAGGGCATCTTGAGCTGGTTGTTATAGGATCTGCAGATAAATGGCAGGGAATGGGCAAAGTGTTAAGAGAGAAAGTGAGGGTTATTGAAACCATCACAGATAAGTTAAATTCTCCATCGTCAAATGCAAACAGATCTTTTAATTGTTCATTTATTGATCAAAATGAGCAAAACATTTTAGAGGTTCTTAGTTGTTGTTAGGGAGCAGCAGTTCATTAAAAAACAGCAGTGTGCCCTAGGAATGACAAATAGTTTTAATCTGTGCTAAATCTAAATCTAATCAATTGATGTTGGCTGCCTAGAGTGCTTTGTCAAGAAGGATTCTGAGGGTACCATTTGAGGTAAGTGAAAAAAATGCAGTGATTGATTAATTACCAGCATTAAGTGTGGACATAAGGAGGTCGAACAGCGCTTGATGATTGTGCCATGAAGCCAGACAGCCAGTGCTCGAATCTTGGCTCTGCTACTTTCTAGCTGTGTGACTGTCATAGGATATTTAAACTACTGTGTCTCAGTGTCCTTGTCTCTAAAATGGGGATAATAAAAGTGCCTATGTCCTAGATTGTTATGATAATTAAGTGAATTAATATATAAAAAGTATTTAGAACAGTGCCTGACACACTGTAAGCACTTGATTATTACCTGTTGTTAGCTACTGCTTATTTTCAAGTAAATAAGATTAATATGGAACCCAAGGGAGTCCAGTATGCTTATTTGTATTTTTTTTTCTTTTACGTTGTAAATGTTTATGAGTAGGCAGCTAACTTAGGTATCCTCAGTTCTTTCCTAGACTATTTGGTACACAGTGCAATTTGAAGACTAATATTTTCGACATAATATTGATTCTACAGCTAGAATGTTAGAATAAGGAGAGTTGGAATGACTGGTGTTTGAGTGACTTGGGCTTATTTTTAATTGTTTCACTCTAATATAGTGTGAGATTGATGTGCAACAATGAAACAACATTTTTTTTTTATCTGTAGAACAAATATAAATTGTGCGGCTTCTCAGAGCTCTTTTTGGTCTGGTTTAACATTCATTTCATATGAGTTGCCAAAAGGTTCAATGACTTTTTTCACATCCTGATTTTTATTCTGTGGATTTGTAAATTCTTCCCAGGGGTTCATGTGGGATGTGGCTGCTCAACTGAAGGCTATGTTGGTGTTTGCAGAACATCGATACTATGGGGAGTCCCTACCTTTTGGTAACAAATCATTCACAGTAAGTACAGGCATACCTTTTTTATTGCATTTCACTTTACTGTACTTTACAGATTATGTGTTATTTGCAAATTGAAGGTTTGTAGCAACTCTGTGTTGAGCAAATGTATCAGTGCCATTTTTCTAACAGTATTTCCTTTCTTTGTGTTTCTGTGTCACATTTTGGCAATTCTTGTAATATGTCAAACTTTTTCATTATTATTGTATTTGTTATGGTGATCTGTGATCAGTCATCTAAGATGCTCACAGAAGATGGCAAATTTAATTGATAAATAACGTATGTGTGCTGACTGCTCCACCGACTGGCTATTCCCCCATCTCTTTCCGTCTCCTCAGGCCTGCTTATTCCCTGAGACACAAAAATATTGAAATGAGGCCAATTAATAATCCTACAATGGCCTCTAAGTGTTCCAGTGGAAAGAAGAGTTGCCTGTCTCTCATTTTAAATGGAAAGCTAGAAATGATTAAGTTTAGTGAGGAAGGCATGTTGAAAGCTGAGAGAGGCCAAAAGCTAGGCCTCTTGTGCCAGTCATTCAGCCAGGTTGTGAATACAAAGGAAGAGTTCTTGAAGGAAATTAAAAGTGTTGTGCCAGTGAACATACAAATGACAAGAAAGTGAAACAGCATTATTGTTGATTTGGAGAAAGTTTGAGTGGTCGGGATAGAAGATCAAATGAGCCACAACAGTCCCTCAAGCCAAAGCCTAATCCAGAGCAAAGCCCTAACTCTATTCAGTGTGATGAAGGCTAAGGGAGGTAAGGAAGCTGCAGAAGAAAAGTCTGAAGCTAGCAGAGGTTGGTTCATGAAGTTTAAGGAAGAAGCCATCTCCATAACATAAAAGTGTAAGATGAAGCACTAAGTGCTGATATAGAAGCTGCAGTAAGTTATACAGAAGATCTAGCTGAGATAATTTATGAAGGTAGCTACATTAAACAATAGATTTTCAATATAGACAAAACAGCTTTTTGTTGAAAGAGGATGCCATCTAGGACTTTCATTGCTAGAGAGGAGAAGTCAATGATTGGCTTCAAATCTTCGAAAGGACAGCCTGACTCTCTTGTTAGGGGTTAATGTAGCTGGTAACTTTAAATTGAAGCCAATGCACATTTACCATCCTGAATATCCTAGGGCCTTAAAGAATTATGCTAAATCTACTTTGTGCTCTATAAATGGAAGAACAAAGCCTGGATGACTGCACATCTGTTCACAACATGGTCTACTGAATATTTTAAGACCACTGTTAATACCTACTCCTCAGGAAGAAAAAAGTTCCTTTCAAAATATCATTGTTCATTGACAATGCACCTGGTCATCTAAGAGCTCTGATGGAGATGTACAATGAGATGAATGTTGTTTTCATGTCTCCTAATACAGCATCCATTCTGCAGCCCATGGATCAAGGAATCATTTTGACTTTCAAATCTTATTTAAGAAATACATTTCATAAGGCTATAGCTGCCACAGAGTGAATCCTCTGATAGATATGGGCAAAGTCAATTGAAAACCTTCTGGAAAGGATTCACCGTCCTAGATGCCATCAAGAACATTCAGGATTTGTGGGAAGAGGTCAAAATATCAACATGAACAGGAGTTTGAAAGAAGTGGATTCCAACCCTCATGTATGACTGTGAGGGGCTGAAGACTTTAGTGGAGGATGTAACTGCAGATGTGGTGGAAATAGCAAGAAAACTAGGATTAGAAGTGGAGCCTGAAGATGGGATTGAACTGCTCCAATCTCATGATAAAACTTGAATAGATGAAGAGTTGCTTTTCATGGGTGAGAAAAGAAAGTGGTTTCTGGAGATGGAATCTACTGCTGGTGAAGATGCTGTGAAGATTGTTGAAATGACAACAATGAATGTAGAAAATTATATAAACTTAGTTGGTAAAACAGCTATAGGGCTTGAGAGGATTGATTCCAATTTTGAAAGGAGTTCTGTGGGTAAAGTGCTATTGAACAGCATCACATGCTATAGAGAAAGCATTCATGAAAGGAAAAAATCAATCAGTGTGGCAGACTTCATTGTTGTTTTATTTTAAGACATTGCCACAGCTACCCCGGCCTTTAGCAACCACCAACCTGACCAGTCAGCAGCCATCAACATTTAGGCATGATCCTCCACTGGTAAAAAGATGAAAGCTCAGAAAACTCACTGAAAGCTCAGATGATGGTTAGCATTTTTTATGAATGAAATATTTTTAAATTAAGGTATGTATATCTTTTTAGAAATAATACTAATGCACACTTAATAGACTACAGTATGGTGTAAACGTAACTTTTATGTGCACTAGGAAACCAAAATAGTAATTTGACTCACTTTATTGTGATATCCACTTTATTGCAGTGGTCTGGAACTGAACCTGCAGTATCTCTGAGGTGTGCCTGTATAATTTTTATTTTTAAGTTTAAAAGTTTTTTTTTTTTTGAAGTTTAGGAATTACCTGTTCTAATAACATGTCCCACTCTAAGAAAGAAATGATAGTTTTAATTTGAACAGCTTGAAAAATTTTTATTTAATCTTTCCTTTTTATATGCAATCGAACAGATTAAGCCTTTTTAAAACCATAATATTATCACTTATGTTGGTCATTCTAACTCAGTGTGATGAGATTAGCTGTCACCAGCGAAATCTTAAGGTATGGCTGCAGAGACTGTGAAGGGAACTTCTCATTGTTTCAAAAATGTCAGTAAATAATTCTGCTTTATAAGTTTACACTTAAATTCCTGGGTCTACCACTGGAAAAAATACAATGAGCACTCAAATATTTAATAAGGTATTTTTCAATAAAATGAGAACAAATTATCCCTGGTTTAGTGAGTCCAATGGGCCACTTGGATTCCCTTCTGGCCTTTCCTGATTTCACAAGGAGCTTTGGCCTTGACCTCAGACTCTACACCTAATAAAAAGGATACTTTTTCCGCAACTAAGTCACTCATGTACTACCTTTGTGATTCTGGCTGTATGAATTTGCCATCTGTGCTGTTATTTATGTAGTTTTTTTTTTAAACAACTAACTTTTCAAACTTTGCATTACCTTAACAAGGGCTTAATGTACTAGTTAATGTTTTTTCTAAATGACATTAAAACAAGTATTAAATTTAAAAAGATTGTGCATTATACTAAGACCATCATGCATACTACCAGTATACACATACCATCTTTTGGGGGAACTCTTGAGTTAGAAGAACTTGGGGACAGTAATTTTCTAGGCTGCCTATTTTGAAAGGAGTTTTAATTTTTGTTCTCAGAGGTTTTATTAGCTCATATTATAAATAAATAAATAAAAAGTCCTTGTGTTGTAAATGAAAAGCAGAACAATTTGCTAATAGTTGTTGGGGCGCATGGGAAACTATTCTTTAGCTTATTCTGCATAATTATCTGATTAGGAGAGTTGATAGGTCCTGAAACCACTGGGAAGTAGTCAGCTTGTTGCAGACAGAAACATAATATCCTTTTCTAGATCCCTTTGGTTCATACTTTGATAGCAAAATGGAGCAGAAGGCTCTCTTTGATAGCTTCTTTCTCTTCATGTGCTCACAGAATTTGTCAGTAGCTTGGGGGATAATATTACAAATATTATGCGAGGACTAGAAAAAACGCACTCAACTATACATAGTGCCATGAAAACTGGAAGTAAAAGACTAGTGACAGACAATAAGAAAGGAGGTGAGAGGTCAGAAGGTATACATCTTGGATAAGGGGGAAGGCTAAAGGAGTAGGTGACATACATAGGAAAGAGGAAAGATGGGAACTATGTGGTTTCAGAATGTGCCAAATGATGGAAGAAGTCAAACAGAGTGGTGAGACCAGAGCATGAAGATTGAATAGGACAGCCTAATAGGTATATAGCTGTACTGGTTACCTATTGCTACGTAACAATTTACCTCAAACCTTAGTGACTTAAAACAGCAATAAACATTTATTGTCTCATAGTTCCTATGGGTAAGGAATTAAAAGTGACTCAGCTAGGAGCTTCTTTTTCAAGGGGTTTCATGAGGTTGAGATGTTAGCTGGTGCTAACAGTTATCTGAAGGCTTGACTGGTGCCAGAGAACCCTCTCCTCTATATGGAGAATCCACATGAGTGACAAAACGTTGCTGGGTGTTAGCAAGAGGCTGTAGTTTGTCTCTTCCAGGGTTTCTCCAAAGGCTTACTTGAGTGGCCTCATGACAAGGCAGCTGGCTTCCCTCAAAGTCGATAATCCAAGAGAGCAAAGTGGAAACTGCAGTGCTTATTATGACTTAACATTGGAAGTCACATATCGCTTCTGATACATTTTATTGGTTAGAACCAAGTCACTAAGTCTAGTCCAAGTTCAAAGACAGAGGACTTAGGCCTTGTCTTTTAAAGGGAGATACTTTATTAGCCTCCTTAGCTTAGCAGGATTCTGAGCTCTACCTCCCTATGTTGAAGTGAGGCAATTGTCTTTAGGCAGAGAATTAGATGATTATGGAACTTACTTTAGGAGTATCCTTTTCTCAAGGATCAATGTCTTGTGTTGCCTGTTTTCTAATGCCAGAATATAATTGCTCTATTGGTTTTTGTTTTTAACTCCAATTTCATATTGTTTACACAGGGTAATTTCCAGTTGTTGGTATATCAGACATAATAATTATCTTTCTGATTAGAGAGGATGAAATTTATTTTTATTGATGATTCTTCAATTTTTCACAGGATTCAGTCTACCTTTGCCTGTATGGTAGCCATTTTAAATGTTTCAAGTTTTAAAATAAAAATTATAATACAACAATTGTCTGTTAAGCTGAGAATTGTATTCTATTATATTTGCTGTTAAATGTTAGTTTGTTTCTGTTGTTTCTACAACCTCAACAAAATTTTTGGTAAATAACATTTAATAGAAATTACATTTGAATGCAAAATACATTATGTTTGTCCCACAAACTTAAAATCATTTTTTTTTAAGATTTGTTTAAATCAGCATTGCTATTATGTTGACTGGGCATTTTAACTCAATTGCCTAGAAATTCTATTTGGAGAAAAGCTTATCTGACTGGCTTTTTTCCTGAATCTGTGCTATGCCTAAGCTGCTATTATGTGCACATTTATACGTGTTCTTTGTTATTTTTCTTTAGGATTCCAGACACTTGGACTTTCTGACATCAGAACAAGCTTTGGCTGATTTTGCAGTGTTAATCAAACACTTGAAAAAAACAATCCCAGGAGCTAAAAATCAACCTGTCATTGCCATAGGGGGCTCTTACGGTGGCATGCTTGCAGCCTGGTTCAGGATGAAATATCCTCATATAGTGGTTGGGTAAATGCATTTATGTTGGACATGAGCACTTCTTAATGATTGTCAAGGCATATTTAGAGATTTGTTTTGGGTAAAACATGTTCTGTTGTACTGATATTTCTACTTTCTATCTCATTAACAATTGTAATTTTTCTCAACATTTTTGTTCAGTATCAGTTTCAATTTTAAAATTTGAATTCAGTGAGTTACATTTTTTTTCTTTTCTCCTTTCTTATTTTTCTCACCATTTAGAGCTCTTGCAGCCTCTGCCCCCATCTGGCATTTTGGTAATCTGGTACCTTGTGGTGTATTTATGGAAATTGTAACTAAAGATTTTAAGAGAAGTGGTCCAAATTGTTCAGAAACCATTCGCAACTCCTGGGATGCTATTAATCGATTCGCAAGAACAGGTAAGCTTTAATTAATAGAATGGAATCACAGAGTTTTTTACCCTTCACTTGCTAATTCAACACTTCTCAGATTTTCAGTAACCTTTTTATTTAAATAAAACATACAAAAACATACACAAATCAAAATACATCACTTGATGAATTTTTACAAGGGAAAACATAATCAGCATGGTATAATAGTATACTCATCATCCACTATAATCAGGAACACAGTATGTATGTTTTGTGTCTGCTGTCTTTTGCTCAACGCTATGTCAGATATATCCATTTGTTTTATTTAGTTGTGGTTTACACATTCTAACTGCTCTCTAGTGTTCCATTTGTTTATTTTTTACTTATTTCAATAGTATCTTTGAAACAGGGAATACTTCATGTAATTTCTGGCAGACTCCATATGAGGATAGACAACTTATTTATCATGGGATTATCCAAATGCTCTAAAAGTATTTTATTGAATGTTGAAAAAACATTCTTGGAGAAATGGTGTAGAAGATTGAATTTTCTAAAATACGAAGTAAAGCCTTCTGTCAAGTAGTGCTTTTTAGATTACAAACAATGTGATTCTGTTCTCAGGTGCTGGCTTACGTTGGCTTTCTAAATCCCTTGGCTTATGTACTGCATTAACAAATACTCAGGATGTCCAGAATTTGAAAGCCTGGATCTCTGAAACCTGGATAAATCTGGCAATGGTGGACTACCCCTATGAGTCTGACTTTTTACAGCCTTTGCCTGCTTGGCCTATCAAGGTAACAGGAAAATGTCCTTTCATCACTTTTAATACGAACTTCTCTCTCTCTCTGTGTATTATTAGTTTCAGGATTTTGTTTTGTTTTTTAAACTGGTACTTTCTGTGACTTTTAGCATCGAAGGACTCTCCAGTGACAAAGGGGCTCTGGGTTTGACTAACCTGGGCAGAAATCCTGGCTTCTGTCACTTTCTGGTTACTCACCTTGGACATCTTACCTAAGTTTCTTTCTTTTTTCTTTTTTTTTCTTTTTTTAGAGGGGGAACGGGTAAGGGAGAAGGAAAGAGAGTCCTTAAGCAGACTCCATACTGAGTACACAGCCTGATGCGGGGCTCATCTCATGACCCTGAGATCACCACCTGAGCCCAAACCAAGAGTTGGCAGCTTAACCAACTGCACCACCCAGGCATCCCTTATCTAACTTTTCTGAACATCAGTTTCCTCTCATTTGGATAAAGGAGACAAAATGTATAGATTATAGAGTTGTATGAATTGGAACTAAGACCAGTAGTTGCTGCTAATGGAATGATTACTAGTTGCCAAGTCTTGTGCTGTACACTTTGCATGGACAATTTACTTTATTACATCTTTGTGTTGTATGTGAGACACGTAGACCTATGTCATATATGGTTAGTGCTTAATAAATGGCAGTTGCTATCACAGTGCTATGATTCAGTCAACTGCTAATGTGTTCTAGTGCTACACTTACCATAAAGGAGTGATCTCCATGTAGCAGGGTGGAGTGGAAAGAGTACTGACTCTGGATCCTTGATCTAAACTACCATTTACCAGCTGTGTGATCTTGGGTAAGGCTGTCTTCTTCTGAGCCTCCATGTCTTCCTCTGCAAAATGAGATAATTATACTTATGTTCTCCGTAGGGTTGTGCTCAGGATCAAATAAAGTATTAGATGTGAAAACATTCTAGAAATTGTGAAGACACATTACATCATAAATTTTTAGGTTTTTACATGGCAAAATTCTTTATTGTGTATCCTCTTTTAAGCATTTCTTTGTAAAGAACATTCTTCTTAGTTTTAAAATCAAAGTTTGGCTAACTTGGTGGTTAAGTTTAGAGAGTATAACTGATTCTACAGCTAGAATGAGTGCTGGAAATGTAAATAGACTTGATAATATAAGAACCAGTTTTCAAAAGCACTTTTAACTTAACACAATCCCTTTGAACTTAATATTAAATGAACATTTTGCTTAAAACTTCGTAACCCAAATGGAACAAGGTCATTTGCTATTAGAGATATTTTTCTTCATCTAAGAAGTAGAATGACAAGTGGATGTCTTGTACATAGCAGGCCAGAGGTAAATGTGTATTGAATTAAATTGAATTTAGACAATACAGAATTATTTAAAAGAGCTGATCTCTCTCATGGTAGGAAAACCTGGGTCAAAATAATGAGAAAAAACTAAATTTGAGTCAGTTGGCCTCCATATATGTCTTTGTGCTAATCCCTTATCCAAATTATTTTACTATTTGCAGAACACTTTCATATATGCTATCCCATTTAATCCCCATAATAATATAATATTCTATATGTTAATATAGGAAATAATATATAATACTTATATATTATTACAATAATATAGGAAAAAAAGAAGTACAACGGAGAGGAAATTTTTGGAGTTTTATGGAGAGGAAATTTAAGCTCAGTGAAGAGATGGTGAAAGTGGGATTTGAACTTGGGTCTACTATTATTCAGAGCCTCTGATCTTCTACCATATTGCACTGGATTAGGAGAGGATTTGGCTGAAGTTTTGGGTGGATCACTAGTTGCATTGTGACAACTATCAGATTTAACTGTATTCTCTGTACAAAGTGAGAATTACGTTTGCATTTTTATGCCCACTTGAAGAATAAGTGAGTTGTCAGGTTATAAAAACATATGGGGAATTCCCTTCTTATTTAGAATGAAGGTTGGCAAACTTTATTTGTAAAGAACTAGATAGTAAATATTTTATGTTTTGTGGGCCATTCGGTTTCTGCCGCAATTACTCAGTTCTGCAGCTGTAGCAAGAAAGTAGCAATAGACAAATATAAATCAATGAGGAACACTGTCACAATAATACTTTATTTGTAAAACAGGCAGTCCCCTGGATTTGGCCTGGGGGCTATAGTATGCTGACCCCTGATTTAGAAAAAGCCAGAGGAATACGGCTTTTTAGTGTTCATTTGTTTATGATTTGGAACAAGAACACTAGCTTTGCTTTTCTCCCCATTTCTTTAATGTTCCTTTTGAGTTATTTTGCTGTTGCATCTTGAATGTAAATATTCTATCCTTTCTCTCTCCTAAATATTCACTCAGAGTTAGTGGAGTATATCTCAAATCTTTTGTCATCTGTTTTTGATTTAGCACAATCCTTCTTTTGTCTTTTGTATATACATTATAAAAGTTTATTTTTAAGACAAGGTAACTTGTGTCATTGCCTGACAATCACCTTTTACTTTTCTTCAGGACTACTTCTTGTCATTCTCTTCAGTTATTTCTTACTGGTTTTATCCTTTCTTTTGGCATATTAAGGAATTCTTGATTGCTTATAATATATTTATGACTCTGTTTCTTGCCTGCACCCCAACCAAAAGAAATCTCTTTACCCCTTGCTTGAGAAATTTCCATTGCCTCTATTTCCAGTTTTATCCTATATGATTTCAGAGTGTTTCTACTACATGTCTCCCTCCCAAACTTTTAGCTTCAGATCACTTTCTTTCACTGTTCATTCTATTTCTCCTTTCTTGACCTCGTCTCTGTTCTCCCAACCCACTAATCCCAGGAACACTACCCAGTTGGGGACCGCTCTTTCACTTGGATAGTTCCATTTAACCAGGACTCCTCCTCCCTCTGATACACTTCCTCCTTTTTAAAGGGCTGACAAACAGCCGTCCTTTTCTAAGTCTGTAACTCAGGCTTAGGATAGTGAGATAATGTGTTAACAGTTGGGTTATGAAAAAAAGTAGGTGATTTCCAATTCTGCCTGAACCTTGTATGGTTCTGAAGGATCCATAGGCAGTGATTGAATATCTTTTCCGTGTCAACTCAAGTATCGTTCTTTTTAATTTGTTTGTGGGCTTTGCACACTCGGACTCCATTTGCTTTTGTTTACTGTTAACAGAAGCTGCAACATTCATGCAGAAATAATCATGGACTTGGCTGAGGGAACACAAGGAAGAAGAGAAAAGGGAAATAGAGAACCTCTCTGTCATTTGACTGCTCTGTCAGCATAAAAACTACTGGGGCTCTTCTCAGCTTAAAGAGCAGTTTTTAAGGATATCCTAGAGGTTGTTTATTTTGAGTAAGTTTTTAGCTGATAACTCACCAAATCTTTTGACTTAGCTTTCTGAGCATGCAGATAAATAGAGTGAAATAATAAGACATAAGATGGAAAATCTCTTCCGTTTGTCTTGGTGTTTGATAATGTATGCGACCTCTCTGGGTGGTTTAAGCGGTTTAGGTGCATTCTATGAAAAGAGAGCTTTTAATGACAAAACTAATGTGATTATCTGTGAGTGTGAGAGGGGTATTGAAACCTTAGAGAAAGAAAATCTGTTAGAAAAGCTGAATGTATCTGCTTAATCCTTTCTCTAATGTGGATGGACCATGCTTTCTGAGAGGAGGTTGGTCTTTTTTTTTTTTTTTTAACCTGTCTTCTTTCCTTCTTTTAAAAAAAATTTCTTTGCCCCCTTTTTCTTTCTCTTATTCAAATGCTTATCCTTATAGGTAAGGGGACACATAAAGCTTTTAAACAAATCATTATCTTTACTTTCTCTAGTGTATGTGGGATCAAAAGGCAGAATCTAAATATTTGGATGCAGAGCTAGTTTGGTACTAAGATTGGAATATTCTATCTATTTCTATACTCTTTGAAACCAGAATTATTAAAATGGATGTGTAATGCTCTTTTTAAGTTTTTTTCCTGAACGTTACCTTTGTTCTAGGAAATAGAAAGTAAATTAAGTATTTCATATGTTGATTGTTGAGCCTCATATTAATGACTATTTTACAGTTTTCTTTTTTTGTTGCATAATAAAAAAGTTGTATGATTTTTTTTTTAAGATTTTACTTATTTGACACAGAAAGAGAGAGAGAGCATAAGCAGAGGGAGCAGCAGCAGAGGGAGAGGGAGAAGCAGGCTCCCCACTAAGCAGGGAGCCCGATGCGATGTGGGGCTTGATCATGACCTGAGCCTAAGGCAGCCACTCAACTGACTGAGCCACCCAGGAGCCCCAAAAAAGTTGTATGATTTTTATATTGCCACAGAATCCCTTTTATTAAAATTTTTACCTAAGACAAATAAATTTAGAAAAATATAATCTAAGAATAAAAAAATTTGCTTAAAAAATTAAGCATGAGACTACTGGTATATTTAGGCACCGTTTGTGTTGTTACTTTTCTCTTATACTACAACTTTGAAGTTGAGTATGTGTAGTGTTGGTTATTACAAATGGAAGCTTCAAAGTGAGTCTTGCATTTGAACCCCAGCTCTGCCACTTCCTGACTATATGACTTTGGGCAAGTTTCTTGACCTCTCTGTGCTTTAGTTTCCTCATCTGTAAAGTGGGGTATAGTATTTGTAATGCTTATTAGGGTCATTATGAGAATTTAATAGGACCCCATGTATAGTAAACACTAAATTGATACTAGTTATATAATAATAACAATAGCTATTGTTGTTACTATATAATAATAGAGGGACAGTGTTACGCCAGGACTTTGTGGCCAAAGTCTGGGTTCAGAACTTATATTCATAGTTTTAAGATTGTATATCTGTAGCCAGACCTTTCTGAGCTTGTTTCCTCCTCTGTGACATGGGGATGGCCTTATGTTTTTCCCTGGGTCATTGTAGAGAAAGTACCTGACCTCAAGGAATATTCAGTAGTTGTACTAGCAGCTTCAGTCCCAGATGCCCTCATATCAGTGAATTTATGGCATAAGTAGAAATGCTATACCTTATGTAGAAATTGTTTGGAAGAAGCTAATTTGATAGTGTCCACAAAATAAACAGAAAATATAGTACAGAGGCTACATGGGTGGTGAGTATTCTGAATGGTAGTGGTTGGCAGAGACTCTTTCCTTGTTGTCTGAGTAGATCATAGCCCCTAAATAAACAGTCAGTAGGCCAAGTGCTTGTAGTCATCAATTGGCTAATAACTGCAAATTATCAGACTTAAGGTGAAGTGGATATTAGATGAGGTTGAACCAAAGAAGCTGATCTCTGACTGTGTTTGACATATAAACATGGCAATTTCATGTGGTTCCAACCTAACATTTACGTAAGTGTTTTGTACATTCTGTGGATCTTTAATGAAAGTAGATGATTATCTCCTTTTATTCTTTTTTTGTTGGTGTTTTGTTTTTGAAAGATATTTATTTATTTATTTATTTATTTATTTTAGAACTAGGGGAAGAGAAAGAGAAAGACAGAGTGCTTGTGCGAGCAGGGTCGGGGGAGAGGAGCAGAGGGAGAGGAACAAGCAGACTCTGTGCTGAGTGTGGAGCCCAACACAGGGCTCGATCCCACAACCCCAAGATCATGACCTGAGCTGAAATCAGGAGTCTGACACTTAACTGACTAAGAGATCTCTTTTTGAATAAACATGGAAATAGTGCTGAGGTTTTGCTAGTATAACTTCAGTATTTTTCTGAAAACTTCATTTGTTCCTTACTACCATAATTGTTAAGAAAGTTCATAGAGATATGTAGAGATTGTGTTCTTTATGCTAGAAGATGATGCTTTGACTCACAGAAGTTTTGAGCTAGAAAGGAACTTTAAGAGCACTAAAATAATAAAATTCTTTCAGTAAATTTGTAAATATTTTACAAAAAAAATTTAAGTGATATCTTTTAGGCCTTCTATTATCTAGTGTACCAGTAGAATTATGAATTGGTACTTTCTTTCTATAAGGCAGCTTGACAGGATGTAGCAGAGGCCTTACAAGTATTTATTTCCTGGGGCACCTGGGTGGCTCAGTCAGTTAAGCATCTGCCTTCAGCTCAAGTCATGATCCCAGGGTCCTGGGATGGAGCCCCACGTCAGGCTCCCTGCTCAGTGGGGAGCCTGCTTCTCCCTCTCCCTCTGCCCCTCCTCACTGCTGCTCTCTCTCTCTCAAATAAATAAATAAAATCTTTAAAAAAATGTTTATTTCCTTTGAATTAATTATCTCAAGAAAACAATTAAGGATATATGTAAAGATTTAGCCCCAGAGTTATTTATTTTAGCTTTTGTAGTATGAAAGATTGGAAATTATACAAATGAGCAATTGTAGGATTGCTTCAACTTTTCCTCAACTCCCCATCCTGATTTCTCTGCTGGTCATTGTCCTTAAAGTGTGGTGCTCAGAACTGGACCCAGTACTCCAAAGGAGCCCTGACTGCACAGAGGACAGTGGACCCAGGAGTGGCCTTAATCTGGACATGGAATTTCTATTAGACGCCAAGGTTCTGACCATGATGTTCTCTCTGTGTAACTGGGGCTGCCGAAATCCAAGTATTGTCAGCTGGTGCCGGTCCCCAGCCATGCTTGTGTCTTTTAAGGAGTGACAGTAACTGCTGTTTGCAGAGATGGCTATTCATGGGGACTCCTTTTCTTTGCCTGACAGAGGGCCAGTGTTCTAGCTCTGAGAGGGGATCTGATGCCAGCATGTGAGTCACACTTAACTTGCTACTCTTCTTTTCCAGAGTTTTAGGCTACTTGTTTATTGTTGCTCATCAGTACTCCCTTTTCCTCCTGCCCAGCTTACATTGTCATCCTGCCTCATCTGTCGAGCTATGCTTGAACTTAATGCTCTTCTATGCATCTCATGCGTCCATTCCATAGTTTTATGCTGCATTTGGAAAGAGCTGAGTCCACTGTTATTGTCCACAGTCAAGATGGAATGCTGATTAACTGTTGGCAATAATTAGTTTAACAAATTCTGTGATTGGTTCTTGATTTCCATATTTTTTTGTTTCTGATTGGCATATTTCTTAGGAGCATGTTCTGAGAGAAGTGCTATGCAGGGGCGGCCTGGGTGGCTCAGTCGTTAAGCATCTGCCTTCCACTCAGGTCATGATCCCAGCGTCCTGGGATCGAGCCCCACATCGGGCTCTCTGCTCCACGGGAAGCTTCTTTCTCCCTCTTACTCCCCTGCTTGTGTTCTTGCTCTCGCTATCTCTCTCTCTGTCAAATAAATAAATAAAATCTTAAAAAAAAGAAAAGTGCTATGCAAATGTTAGGTATTTTTTGACCTACCATGAATAATTGAAAGTTGTCAGAATAGTAAAACATTGTTTTGCCTTTTTTCTTCAGCTTGCATTTTCTTATTCCTTTAGGCTTGATAGGTTTGCTCAATTCTGTTTCTTTATGTACACCTTTTCAGGTGTATCTTATTCTTATGACCTCACTGTTACTTTTTTAAATTTATTTTTTATTTTTTAATTTTTTTATGTTAAGTTAGCCAACATATAGTCCATCATTAGTTTTTAATGTAGTGTTCAGTGATTCATTAGTTGTGTATAACACGCAGTGCTCATCACAACATGTGCCCTCCTTAATTGCTGTTACTTTTTTAAGGTATATCCAAGTTATTTGGACATCTTAATTTCTGACTTTTCTGACTTGTTATTTCCAAAACTTAGTGGGAATAGTGCACACTCTATCTTCCTTTTGGAAAGCCACATTACAATTGAGCATGTTAAAGGCCCTGAGGAACCTTGCAGTCAGGTAAACTGTTCACATTTGCCAATATAATATTTCTTAAAAATTATTTGATTATGAAAACTTTTTTTCACAAAGTACCATTTAACATTTTACAAAAATATTTTTGTGCTGAATGCATTTGGGGAGAGACATTGAATTTTCCCTGATTCATTTCTTCTGCCTTTTCACGTTTTCCATTTTTATCAGAAAGGTGTTGCTGGAGGGGTGCCTGGGTGGCTTAGTCGTTCAGCGTTTGCCTTCGGCTCAGGTCATGATCCCAGAGTCCTGGGATCAAGCCCCGCATCGGGCTCCTTGCTCCGCGGGCCTGCTTCTCCCTCTGCCACTCCTCCTGCTTGTGTTCCCTCTCTCGCTATCTCTCTCTCTGTCAAATAAATAAATAAAATCTTTAAAAAAAAAAAAAAAAAGAAAGGTGTTGTTGGAAACTGGTCCTAAGCAAAACTGTGATGAGATGCTGGGTTTGCTTTCTGCTGTTCACTTCCTTTCTCAGTGTCCTCCTTTCCTGAGTGGGAACACGTCTCCAGCCCAGGCCTTGTGGCTTCTGCTGCCCAGAGTCTCTCCCTGAAGTAGAGTAACTAGACTCTTTCTTGGCTTTTTCTTCTCGGGATGTCTCTCTCTCTCTCTCTCTCTGTATACATTTTTTCCATATGAAATGAGAAAGGACCAATCACTGACTTCATGTCAAGGTGTTAGTAGAGGATGCAAGCTTAATGAATGTGGTTTCCGTGCCATCGTGGCTATCTGCAGTTTTACAAGGGATACTTTCTAGGCTGTGCAGCATAATGAATAAGATGTGCATTTCATAACTAGAGAGATCTGGGGTTGTATCTAGATCTTAACATTTACTAGCGAGGGTCCTCGAATAAAGTGGTTTAACTTAAGATTCAGTTTCTCTATGTAAAATAGTGGACGATAATATATCTGATACGATTGTTTGAGAACTGTATGATATAATGGTTGTAAACCCAGAACTCAGTAATTAGTAGCTATTGTTGTTTTTCCACTGTGATTTCATTGCCTGTGATTTTCCCCCAACATTTTATTGTGAAAAATTTCAAATATAGAAACATCAAAATAATTGGATAGTGAACACCCATTAAAAAGACCACCTAAATTCTAGAAAAGTATTTCGCTATATTTGATTTAGCACATATATATTTGCCTAGCCATCCTTCTATCCTTCATTCCATTTTATTTTTTAAATGCATTTCAAAGTAAGTTGCAGATATCAGTACACTTCTCTTGAACACTTCACCTTTATCATCATTATCTAGAATTCAGTATTTGTTTATGATTTTTTTAGATAAAATTTATATGCAGTGAATTGCACAAATTGCAATGAACTGTTTGTTGTATGTTGTATAACCGTTTGTTGTCTATGAGGATATGGAATATTTCCCTACCCCTGAAAGTTCCCTGTGCCCCTGTCTAGTCACTCATGCCTTCACTCCTGACCCCGAGTATTGTCTATGATTTTTAATACTAGAATTTCAGGTGCTGATTATAGTCTAGTGATAGGAATATTTAGAAGCTGGGTTGCTGCCTGGTATGCTTCTTATCACACCACAGACGTTGGAGCTTGGTATCGTTTTTCCATGAGAAATTTTATAAATTTGCAGTTTCATAAAAATGAATTTAGTTGTCAGATACTTTGCTAAGTGCTGAGTGAGATGTTCTGGAATCAAATGAGTACATGCCGTGTTATAGGGGCTCTGCTAGAAACAAGTACATGGCATAAGTAGAAGCACGAAGGGAGTGATTTAGTTCTTCCGAATTTGAGGGCATAGCTAATGATGGCCTTATAGAAGAGGTGATACTTGAGCTAAATATAATATAAAATGAATTAGTGTTTGCCAGACAGTGGAGTGGGAGAGTGGGAAAAAGGTATTTCAGGGTGAGTAAAGGCGAAGAGGAGAAAAAGAGCCTGGTGTGGTGAGTATGGTTTTGCTAGACTGGAACAAAGGATGAAGCTACAGTGGTAGATGTGGAGGACTTCGCATACCATGCAAATGACTTTGGTTTATTTCTATAGCTAAGAGAGTAATTTAAATTTTATACTTGCAGAGTGAAGGTTTATTCATTTATGAACAGGATTATACTCAAGAGATAAAAATTGTCAAGCAGTGCTGTTAGATGTTTAAGATTGTTTTATAGGCAAATCAAAACCATATTCTTTTTTTCACTAAAAACTATGATTTTATAAATATATTCTGACTCTTCTTCCTTTACATCTCTTTAAAATGACAGGTAGTGTGCCAGTATTTGAAAAATCCCAGTGTATCTGATGCACAGCTTCTGCAGAATATTTTCCAAGCTCTGAATGTCTATTACAATTATTCAGGCCAGGCGAACTGCTTGAATATATCAGAGACAACAACTAGCAGTCTGGGAACCCAGGGTTGGAGCTATCAGGTAAGCATGTATTATTTGCTCAAGTGGAACTTACTTTTCACTGATACGGTTGTACTGTAACAGAGTTCACAAGATTTTGTCACTAACCTGGATCCAAATCTGGGCCCCATTATCTTACACTGTGACACCATAGATAAGTTAGTTAGTTCCTTCCTTCATTCCTTCCTTCCTTCCTTCCTTCCTTCCTTCCTTCTTTCCGTCCTATATTTAATCATCACCAAACATATTCTGGGTACTTACTGCATGTCAGACAACATTCTAGGCTGCAAAGATACGAAGATAAATAGGACATGATCTCTCTTTCAAATATAGCTGAGTGAAAAAGATACTTATATTACAGTAGATCTTGGTAAATCCTATAAAGGCAGCATTTTATGGATACAGAAAAGAAGGGCAGTCTAACTTGACTCTCCCTGAATCTCCATTCCTTCATCTGTATGAGACTAGTAATAATACTTACCCTTCAGAGTTGTTGTGATGATTATTTATGATAATAGATGTGAAAGAAAGCAGTTTTCAAAGGAAGAATATATAGCCCTAATTTGTGTAACTTCTCAGCTGAGCCTTTCCAGGAATAATGAGAGGTGGTATGACAGAGGTAAAGAGCAGGTACTCTGGAGTCAGACTGCCTGAGTTCAAACCCTAGCTTTGCTACTACTAGCTGTATGACTTTGGATAATTTATTTAACCCTGTGCCTCATTTTCTTACTGGATTCCCTTTTGGTTTCCTTTTTTAGGCCTGCACAGAAATGGTCATGCCTTTTTGTACTAATGGTATTGATGACATGTTTGAACCTCACTCATGGAACTTGAGGGAATTTTCTGAGGACTGTTTTAAACAGTGGGGTGTAAGACCGAGGCCTGCCTGGATCATTACTATGTATGGGGGCAAAAACATCAGTTCACACACGAACATCATTTTTAGGTGAGTTTTTACTGATGCAAAGAAAATCTTTGGTTGATGGAGACATTTGTAGAATAGCTGAGAAGACAGAATAAGAAAAATGCTGATAATAAACAATATAGAATACAATAGTGGTATCCATCATGTCTTTCCTTGAAAGACAGAGGACTCTGCATAAGAGATACAATTTTATACTCTATTACCAATGTGCTTGAAGGCTTAAAAAGAATAATAGCAACAAAATTTAAATATTTTATTAAAAAACGCTAGCACAAAATGAAGCATCATCTGCTGCTCTCAGTTTGTGTTACTGTTGTTACTATTGTTATTAATAAAGGTTTTTTAATATTCAACAAATACTTTTGAGGTGCCTACTCTGTTCTGTTTCAGGCACTATGTGAGGCACTTTAAAAAAATTGCCTAATTGAATCCTCACAACAGTCCTGTGGAGTAGTTGTTATAGTCCCCTTTTTACTGAGGAGGAAAGTGAAGGTCACTGTGTTCAGCCACTTGCCAGACCTCATCTAGCTCTGTTGTAGTTACTAAGTGATAAAGCCAGATTTCAACCTTGGCCTGTCTGACTACAAAAACCTGTGTTTGTTCTTCTGTGTTACACTGCTTCTTTAGAAGGGATGTATTTGGTATTGGCTCATGTCAGACTTAATTGAGTAGACTCCTATGTGTATCTGATTGTGACTTTAAAATTTCCATATTTTGGTTTGAACACTAGGCTGTCAGCTCTTAAGATAACAACAAATTACTCAAAAAATTTCCCCAAATCTACATGGAAATAGTAGAGAGATAGCATATATACTTCTTAGCCTGGAGCCATTATTTAAACTGTAAATGTCATTCTTTTACAAGCTCTTTAAAATGAGAGTCAAATTTGGCCTTCTGGACATGGCCAATAGCTGAAGGATCGTTCTCTGGATTTAGGTTGGTGGCACTGCCCACTTTGCAAGAGCCTCTGTCTTGTTAGATTCATGCTGTTTGCTCACCCAACAGGGTACCTGCCCCAAATAAAAGGTGAAACATTTAAATGGGAAACTTTTTTTTTAAAAAGATTTATGTATTTATTTATTTATTTTGACAGAGAGAGAGAGAGAGAGACAGCAAGAGAGGGAACACAAGCAGGGGGAGTGGGAGAGGGAGAAGCAGGCTTCCCGCTGTGCAGGGAGCCCGATGCGGGGCTCGATCCCAGGACTCTGGGATCATGACCTGAGCTGAAGGCAGACGCTTAACGACTGAGCCACCCAGGCACCCCTTAAATGGGAAACTTAAGGATTCTTTCGTTTAATTTCTTTAAGTTGTGTTTCTTGTTCTCAGTAGGATTCTTCCAAACTGTACTCTTCAGCTCAACCTTATAAAGTGATGGTTGAGCAAATAAATCCATGTAAGTATAGATTATTTAAGGAAACTGTGCCAAAGTAGGGTGTGTGAAATCAGGAAAACATGAAGGGACCTAGAGGACTATAAAAGGCTTAAACACAGCTTTGGGTGTCCAGATTCATTTTTGTTCCTCAAAAGAGGAAGTACTTTATCAATTTCTTGTTTTTCTTTGGTAATTTATCTCCATATAGTATTTAAATGGATTTCGGTAGCACGCTGGTACTTTAAGCTCATCCTTCCTTGCTTTGACCTTCTAAAGCTGAAGTTCAAGTTGAATTGTAGAGTCTTTAAATCCTTGTATGAAGATTTTAATATTTTAATATATGAGTTTTGGTTAAAGCCTTTTTTATTGGATTCAACCATTATAGATGCGTATTTTAGTTATCTGTTTGCCCTTTTATATTATTTTGCTTAGGCTATCAAAATCATCATCATCATTGAGGAAGGGGGCAGATTTTGTGAGAAAAGTTTGGAGAATAGAACTGAAGCCAAGAAATGGAAATTATAACTGTTAGAAACCTTTAACTGCGTATTAAGGTGGGACTTTCTAACAGAACTGTGCAAAGGTCTAATGAGCTGTTTTAAATAAAATTACTTAAGCTCTTGGATCCTCACTCTTTTTTTCTATAAAATGCTAATAACAATACCACTCACCGCACAGTGTTGTGTGTGCTTCAGAGTTAACCCAAGGAGGGGCGCCTGGGTGGCTCAGTCGTTAAACGTCTGCTTTTGGCTCAGGTCATGATCCCAGGGTCCTGGGATCCAGCCCCACATCTGGCTCCCTGCTCGGCGGGAAGCCTGATTCTCCCTCTGCCCCTCCCCCTGCTTGTGTTCCCTTTCTCGCTGTGTGTCTCTCTGTCAAATAAATAAATAAATAAAAATGTTAAAAACAAAAAAAACAAAAAAAAAGGAGTTAACCCAAGGAAGTATTTGGCCCAGATTTGACAAATACATGTGCTCAAAAAATATTTGTTGAATGAATAAATGGAAATACACTCTCTGCCTTGTACTTATGTCCTAGCACAGGGAACTATTTGTCTTTGCAGGTCCTTTCCCTTCCTCTTTTTCTCCTTTCTTAAGACTCAGGCATCCAAGAAACCTTCCCTGAGTCCTCCAGGAAGGTTAGATTTCCCCCAGTCCTTAGCTCCCCTAGGCCTGTGAATATCACTTAGCACTCTGTATGGAAATTATCTATTTGTGTTTCTTTCTGCCCCATGAGATTGTAAACTTTCTCAATGACAAGAGACTTTGTCTTAATCATAGCTGTGCCTTTAACACTTACTGTGGTGACTGACACATATTGAATGCCCAAGAAATGTGTGTGTTGATAAAAACAAGGAACGAAATACAAAGCTTAGAAAGGCTTCAGAGGCATATGAGAGTTTAAAGGCAGGACTATGTGAAGATACTGGTTTATCTTTTTGCAGTGGCAAGGCTATTTTTAAAAAAGAAATCTTTATGCTGCTAGGTGTGAGAAATCCAATGTAAAAATTTTAAAGTTATTAAAAAATTCAAAATTTTCCTGCTTTTCTGAAGAAAACACATTCCCAAAGTAAAGAAACAGCCTTAGGTGTCTCTGTTCTGTCTACTTAGTGGCTACCAGCTAGAAAAAGGTTTCGGTTGATGAGTAAGAAAATGTCCAAGGAACCAGGTGGAAAGTATCTTTATGTCCATGCCTCTCTCCTTAGGTCATCTCACACAAATCCAGTTGTGACCGCTTTTCTGAATGGAAATTTCAGTCTGTATTTATCAGATAGAAAGTTTGTCAGTTAAATTAAAAGCTTGGGCTTTGAAGTCAAGGAGACCAAGTTAGCTGTATAGCCTTAGGCAAATTGCCAATTTGTTTAAGTTAGTAAAAATGACTACGAAACAGGGTTACTTTAATGAGTAAATAGATTATCATGGAAGTAAGCACCATGAGGGCAGAGATTTTGTCTGCTCACTGTTGAATGCATCATACATACTCGGTAAACATTCGTTGAATGAATGAGGACTTAATAAATAGTAGCCATTAATTGTTCCATTTCAGTAATTTTTTTTATTCCACAGTTGTTTTGTTAGAAGGATTTATTTTTCCCCAACCCCAATTGGTTATGCTCAGTTATTTAAATATAAATCCAAAAGGGAGTCCCTGAGGAGCTGGTTAGTTTAATATCATTTCTCAGGCAAATTAATTGTTGCCAGTGATTAGAAGCTTGCTGTTGGGAATTTTATCCAGGCATCTAGACTCTCTCATGAAAGCCAGTATTTTTTTTTTTTTTTTTTTTTTTGGTAAATGTCCCAGTGGCTGGTTTAGCTTTCACGTGTCTAGGACCAAGAAATTCAAGTCCATGTGCATCTTAGGTCTCTCGGCAACTCCAAACACTGTTGCTAAGCCACTGGGCTGATTCAGATGACCTTTTAAATCAAATGCAGTTTGCTTATTATGTGGCTGTTGGGATGGCTTTTTTGTTTTGCAAATAATGGAGATTTTCCTATCTGGGTTGGTCCTGTCAAATTGGAATAATGATAAAGGCTATTTGTTCACTTAAGAGAATCTAGCCCCTTGTGTAGTTTATTTTAAGAATTTATCTGGTAGTTGAAAACTAAGGCTGCTATTTTGCATGTGAGTTATTCTTTTTATTTTTAACAAAATCAGAAATCTACATTTTTGGAGTGATTTTTTTTTTTCCTCCCAAGAATGGTGTTATTAAGTTGCAATTGAATTAATTTTGTTTCTAAAGAGAGGTGTGGTAAGAATAGAACACTTTTTTTTTTTAAGATTTATTTATTTGAGAGAGAGAGAGTGAGCGTATGAGTTGGGGGAGGGGCAGAGGGAGAGAATCTTCAAGCATACTTTCTTCTGAGCATGGAGCCCATGGTGGGCTTGATTCCATGACCCATTAGATCATGACCTGAGCTGAAACCAAGAGTCGGACACTAACCTGACTGAACCACCCAGTCGCCCCTAGAACAGGGAGCTTAAAATTGTATTTCAAATACACACACACACACACACACACACAATGTACCTACGTGCTTATTTTCTCATTTTGTTTGTACATTTACCTGGAAAAAGTTGATCACATTACTTTTCTGGCCAGATTTCTGTGAGACATGCTTTCACATCCTTTTTCATGATTCATTTACTTCTCAGAAGTATTAACTTTTCATGCTTACAGAATATGATAATAATAATTATAATAATACTGTATGTGTATTATTTTATAGTTTATACCTTACTGTTACATTATTATTTAACTTGAACCTCACAGTATTTCTGTGAGGGAGGGACATTATCTTTTCTTTAAAAAAATTTTTTTGGGGGGTGCCTGGGTGGCTCAGCTGGTTAAGTGTCTGACTCTTGGTTTCGACTCAGGTCATGATCTCCTGGGTCAAGGGATTGAGCCCCATCACAGGCTCTGGGCTGAGGGGGGAGTCAGCTGGAGATTCTCTCCCTCTGCCCTTCCCTGCTGCTTTCCCTCTTCCTCTCCCTCTCTCTTTCTCTTTCTCTCTAAAATAAAAAAAATCTTTAAAAAAATAAAATGTATTTTTTTGTAATACATGTAGGAATTAAGGTTCACAGAGGTTAGATGACTTACCCATGGTCATGAGCTGGTAAGGGTATAAAACTTAGATCTTCTTAGTTAATT